AAAGCAGACCTATAGGGCTTCAGACAGACGTCAAAAGAGCACAGCAGCCCGCAACCCTAAACCCCAAACCCTAAACCCTAAATCCTAAACCCTAAACCCTAAACCCTAAACCCTAAACCCTACCCTAAACCCTGAGCCCCCCAGACTCAGCCCGAAACGACGCAACTGCATGAGCCATGGCCGCTGCAAAGTTGGCTGCAGACCAAAGTCTGCAAAGCCTCGCTCTGGAGGGCGAGGAGCTGGGGAGAAAGGGTGCCCAGAGGCCCGGGAGCTCTTAGATTGGGTTTGGGGTTTAGGGTTTAGGGTTTAGGGTTTAGGGTTTAGGGTTTGCGGTGAAGACGAAGCTGTGCCGAGTGCATCATACTGTGAGCTGTGAAAGCCTGTCTCTAGAAGGCTTTTCCCTCTTTCTCTTGCGCCTTTCGTTTCCGAGGGGGGTTGAGCCTTAAGCGCTGTGGCATTTGTCCAAGGGTCTCTGGCCGGTGCACAGTCTGCTTGGGGTGGTTGTGGTGCGAACCATTTTTTTCTGGCTATTATGGCTGGCTGATGTCTGTAGCCGCGTCCAGTGACTTCGTGGAGCTTCCATGGAGGTTGTCCCGGGCTCTGCTGACCCACGGCGCGCTCCGGGAGCTGGATGTGGCGGCTTGGCTAATGTCGTTCTTGTCGACCGCGTCAAAGTACGCCCATATGTTTACTTCAGGGCGAGTGCTTGCATGTCGTCGAAGAAGCAGCACTGCTGATTGGCGAAATGTTGGTGCTGAGAGACATCTTGTTGTCGACCTAATTGCTTTCATGCTCGCTTTCCATACCCCAATACAACATCCTGCTTGTTTAGCTCCCCTATACTGTAGTATGTTTAGACCCGGTGGAAATACTTATACTGACTCCTAAAAGCAACCCTATTCTAGTTCTTCAGGCACCCATACGGAGTTTTTGCTTTACACATGCGCAGAGATTCCAGGTGCAGCATCGAGCAAAGTTGATTTGGCTATCCGAAGGGTTGCGTGTCATAAAGTCGGGACAGCACAGCGAATCATATAGAAGCACAGCAGTCGGCTGAAAGACTCCGGCCAGCACTTCCGACTGGGGCGGCTTCCCAGTCCTGCCAAAGAAATCGCGAGCCCTAAACGCTAAACCCTAAACCGTAGAGCGAGGCTTGTGGCAACATTGGCGATGCCGGCATGGCCTACCTCGCCGGAGCCATTCAGAGGAGACAAGTCCTAAACAGGCCAATGGGGCCCCATTGAAGTCCCTTGGGGTCCACTCTGAAGGCCTTTAGGTGTCTAGACATGGGCCCCATAGTAGTTCCTGTTTGGGATTACCTAACAGGATCCTGAGTACAAACCACAAAAAAGGAACGACGATGGGGCCTTAGGCACTTGAAAGCACTGAAGGAGTGCCACATTGGAGGCCGCCCGCTTGTGGAAGTTTTATTGATGGAGGGTCTGAGTAGCCTGGTTAACTGCCGTGTCGCGGCTTCAGATGAAGGGAGCACACTGAAGGCACTCCGTGTATCTGCGAGGTTCACAAGGCCTGTTGCTTCTTGAACATCGCTGTGTGGCCCCGATAAGCCCCGCAATCACAACACATGTTGTACAAGAGCAGGCAGTGAACCTCCGAAACAACAGCATCGGTGGCAGCGGCTGCGCTGCGTTGGCAGAGGCCCTCCTGGGTGCGCAGAGCCTGTGCTGCATCGAGCCCCATCTCGTGGACTGTGATGCACATAGTTCATTTAGATGATCATACCCCTCCAACCCTAACCGCTAAACCCCTAAACCCCAAACCCTAGACCCTCAAACACAAGATCAAATTCAAGCTCAAGTTTGTTTCGGCCTGGGACCCACCGAGAACTTTCGTAGCAAAGTGCCGGAGGTCCGGCTATGGCAGACTCACAGAGCACCTCGGCTGCGCAGGGAGCATTTCGATATTTCTTCCTACGGTGGAGTTTAGGGTTTAGCCAGGGCTTAGGGTTTAGGGTTTATGCATGCGGTCTCTCGGACAGTCTCGAAGCAACCACTTGGAGACTAGACTACAGGATCATTACGAATTGGCGTCAATCGGGGTGTAGGGTTTAGGGCTTTAGGGTATAGGTTTGGAACGGAGGCGGTTATGATTCCAGATTCCGGAACCTAAGCGTTGTTTAGTCTTGTTTGAACTCCAAATCCTGCAAACCTTAAACTTTAAATCTTATAAACCCTAAACCTTGAACAGGGTCACTCGGCCAGGGATTCCCAGCTTGTCGCAGAATACTCTGATTGCCTCCATGTCGTTCCTGGGGTAAATTGCAGGTTCAGGGTTGTAGGCTGCTCGGGTTCCAAGTGTTTTGGGAGTACGGTACAGTCGCACAAGGCTCGGGTCTCGGATGGCCCTTTGCAAGCGGGGCATCCGAGACCAAAGCCTTCGTGATACAAGAGGGGCAGGGTGTTTTTTTGACAAGCCGATGTTCGTGCTGTGTAACTTCGGGGGCGACCAGAATAATTCCATCAGCGTGGAACGCCGCATGAATCTACCATAGTCGGGAACATCTTCTGCCCAAGTTTGGCTCCTGCACCCATCTGCACCCTAAACCCTAAATCCCCAATACCCTAAACCCTATACCCTAAACCCTACTGTAATCTGTCCCTGCAGAGGTCTTGAAGCTGAACCTGGCGCGCAACCGCCTCATGCTTGAGGGGGCCCGGCTCTCGCGGAGCTTCTTTTGATAGTGCAGGGACAGTCTACAACGCAGTGCAAGCCTTCAACCTCCGAAGCCCTAAACCCTAACGTAGGGGCCCGACTACTAACCTATACTATTTTTGGGGGGCTCTTTATTTTAGCTATACGTAGTATAGTATACCCCAAAACCCTATTCTAATTATTAAGGCCCCTAAACCCCAAGCCAGTTTGTAAAGGGTTGAGGGCTTCATGAGGGCATGAACAGGGGCTGTGACTCGAGATTGCAAGCTCCTCTTTCGTGCCTTTATTCCACCCACTCCGAAGTAGGAACAGACTGCGAAGAAGATGCGTACCGCAGGTGAAGGCCATTGCGGCATCCATCCCGAAAAGCGTGGAGGTGGGCATCGGGACATACTGGATTTTTAGTGTAGGGTTTAGCGTTGAAGGGGTTTGGGTTTAAGTTTAAGGCATACAGTAGGACACAGCAAATTCAGATGTCCCACAGCTGCCTGACGACTTGGATGGTTCTTCGCTCAGGTCTCCTTTTGTCCACACAACCGCCGAGTGCTAGTCGCCCAAGCACCTAGAGTTTCGAATCCCGAACTCGCCTAAGCGCATAGCACCGTGTAAGCTGCACCCCGCCTAACCTTACACACCCTAAACACCGTATAGGCCCCACAAACCGTAAACCCTGCAAACCCGAATCATCACTTGGCAGTCTGATTCACTGATCTGTCTGGTGCTTAGTAGGGAATGGGGGATGGATCCCTATGATAGTCTATAAGTCCCTATAACCCATTCCCCCATTCCCTACTAAGCACCGGACAGTGATACGTCACCGGATCCTTCACCAGAATGCCCGAAGCCTCGCCCTCTCCGCCCCCCACACTTCGTCTTGCAGGTCTTGGCCTTGGGCTTTTCTGGCATGAAGATCGGCGGCTCTCCCAGCCGGAGGTTGTTTGTATAGGGGCCTTAAATAATTACCAGTACTATTTTGGGGGGTTCCTTATTATAATCATACTGCAATGCACCCCAAAAACCTATTCTAATTATCAAGGCCCCTGCATTATCATTTCTTAGAAGTGTTGCCTATGATTGATTATGATTGGGCGCTTTTGGCATCCACGGGCCGTTAGGTTATTTGTTCTTGGGTTGAGTGACACTCCTTTAGATTGCGATGCGCTGTAGCTTTAGTTCTTTTCTGAAAACCCTTGGGGATATACTGACTGTGCAAGTACAGAATATGAGCCTTGAAGCTCCGAACGCTCTAAACCCCAAACCCCATCAACCCTGGGCCTAAGAACCCTGAGGCCTCACAGCTGCAACCCTAAGGAAATCCCAAATCGTTTCCAAGTCCCCGGCACTGCACCCTTCCTCCGAAGTCAGACCGACCATCAGCCTCGAAACCTTTATAACTGCACGGTTTAGGGTTTAGGGTTTAGGGTATAACCCTATAACCAATGGATCGATCGGATGAGTCTTTCAAGTCCCCATTTGCAGAGGTACTGTAAGGCTCCGGGTCAAGAGTTTCGGGACATGGCAAGAATGTTTACATATGTGCACACATGCATGTGCAATTACATGCCCGTATATCCTTGCTATGTAGCTCATGTCATTATATCCATCTGGCAACTTCTTGATGAGGACTGTTTCTTTCTTCCTCTAAGCCGGAATCCCAGGAATTTGTAACACCCCCTACTAAGCAACCACTTTACACTCCCCTCTACAACGCGTCTTGTCATAATATAACATCTAACAACAATCGCCTACACAGCCTCCTGCTCCATTCCCCACTACCGCAAAAACAAGCAATACATGAAATTGGTTCGTAGTGCCGGTAAGTATGTTGTAAGTACAGAGAACATGCTTATCAATACCAACTGCTTTCTCTGACATGACCCTAAACCCTAGACCCTAAACCCTAGCCCTAAACCTTGAGGCCTAAACCCTAAACCTTAAACCCTAAACCCTAGACCCTATAGACCCTATAGACCCTGTAGACCCTATAGACCCTATAAACCCTACATAGACCCTTAGACCCTAAACCCTGTAAAACTTAGGGCAGAAACCCCGAGACACAGCGAAGCCTCCGAGAGCGCAGCCCAGGGGCCGCCGGCGCGGCCATCCTGGCCAGTGCCATCCCTCCTGGAGCCCGGGAGCCCGGCGAAAGAGAGGGAGAGGGGCGTTAGGGCTTTTGGATTATGTAGGGTTCTTTAGGGTTATTTAGGGTTTAGGTTTTTGATTTTAGGGTTTTAGGGTTTAGGGGTTTAGGGTTTTGGGTTTAGGGTTTTAGGTTTAGGTTTGTTTTAGGGTTTGGGGTTCAGGGTTTAGGGAGAGAGAGAATGAGAAGGGTTCCGTGAAACGGTTCCTTCAAAAGGGGATCTGTAAGAGTAAGTACCCAAAAAAACGGTTAAGACGTTTGGTCTTATAAATTGGTTTAGACAGGAGCCAGAATCATTTCTGGGAGGGCTCAGGCGGCTTAGGGTTCATGGCTTGACGGGTTTAGCGAATGGAGGGGTGGCAGGGGTGTGCCTTAACCCCTTTTTCCTGTATCGCTTCCCTAAACCCCTGAACTGTGTACAGCATCAAATGTCTTCTTGGCCATGCAAGCAAGGCTCGAAAGTTGACACTGGACTTGCTGGGGAATCGCATCAGCGACGAGGGAGTGGAAGCCATATCCAAGGCAATGCGGGCTGTGAGCACTGTCATGGCCCCACCCTAAACCCTCAACCGGGTTCAAGGGTTGCCTTGCTGAGGTTATCATTGAATGCAGCCCTTGCTGAAACTATGACCATGGCCATTACGGAGAGTAGCATTCGATTGTAGTGACGAGTGGGAGGATGTTGGAGGGCTTGAATTAGGGGTTGGAATCATCACGAATATTGTGACGCCCAGTCCTGGCAAAGTAGCGGTATGTGCCAAAAATAGTTCGTATGATAAATTCCGATTTTGTTATGGTTTGGGGTTTCGTCCCGCTTATGCTTTTGATATGGTTTTGAATATGGATTCGTTATGGTGTTGAATGTGGTTTTGGTTTTCGCTACGCGGGAAAGCGCGGCTCGGAAAGCAGCTCGGCTGCAAGTCCGAAAACCATATCACCAACATAGCAAACACATAATATCAAACCAGTCCTGGAGGAGGCTGGAGACGTATCGATATCGTATCAAAGCCGTATCAAAATCGTGTCGAAGTCGTATCGAAATTGTATCGAATCGTATCAAAATCGTATCGAAGTCGTATCCAAACCGTACCCAAATCGTAAACCATGAGACTATCGAAACATGAAGGATTCCTGAAATCATATCAGATCGTATCGACATCGTAAAAGCATATTACTGGAAACGTCTGCTTCCCGAGATCCTAGGCGTCACAACACTAATACCACTCCCTTATGGTTATGGTACCTATATATATATATATGTATATGTATATATGTAGTTATAGTTATCGTACAACAATACCAATAATACGTATTCTCATTTTGCTATTGTTGTCCTTATCATTATTAAAATTGTCGTTGTTATTTGTATAAATACTTACTGATGTCCCTGTACCAGGTCTTCTGAAATTAGCGGGGCAGAGCCGAAGCTTCTTTTTCAGGAAGTTGGTGGGAGCTGCAGGTTCATGAGGGCTCGGGGTCGTCGGGTTTAGGGCTTAGGGTTGAGGGTTTAGGGGTTTAGGGGTTTAGGGTTTTGGGCTTTGGGTTCAGGGTTTAGGGGTTGAGGGTTTAGGGTTTCGGATCGAGGTTTGGGTTGCCTTGGGGTGGCTCACGGATACTTTGTGTTTCTGGAGTTTGCAGGCGCGCTTTGAAGTTCTGGAATCTTGAGTCAAGATAAAACCTCATGCTAAGACACCCACTGAACCCTAAACCCTAAACCCTGAACCCTGAACCCTAAACCCTATGAGTTCACAGGATTCGACCTTCACATGGTAGTTTTTTGACGATGGGGCATGCAGAGTTATGAAAGCACCTTTTCCCCGAGCTCCCCCTGAAAGATGCGGATGTGTGCCAGGCTTTGCCCAAGACCCTGGATTACCTGCACATCGTCTTGTCGGACAACGGCCTGAGCAAGAGGCGGGCGTCTTAAGTCTTTGGCCCCGTAAGCTAAGCACGGACTACCTGCTGCAAGGAGCCCTAAACCCTAAACCCTAAACCCTAAACTCTAAACCCTAAACTCCCTAAACTCCCTAAACCCCACCTCTACACCCTGAAAGCTGATTCCCAGTCAAACTCCGGGAGCCGCGATGCCCACTAGTACAGAGATGTACAGAGTCTACGCAAACTCTGGGCTCTTGTATGTGGCAACGCTTGTAAGGGGGATTGTCAGATCAAACGTAGGAGCTGGACATTCGGGGCTTGTCTGGACAAGACATCCCGAAAATGTCGGCGATGATACTTGGAAATCTGGTTTAGGGTTTCGAAGTCTTCGAAGTACCTATAGTCTCCATATTCTGGTTAAGTCCCTAAACCCTAAACCCGAAACCCGAAGCAGCTCTGGGTCAGGGGGTTCTTCATGATCGACCGGCAGATCGGTGACCCCCTGCACGAGAGGCACTTGCCGAACCTCAAGCAGCTCTGCTTCTTTGGGTTGGGGCTGAGGGGGGTTTAGGGTTTAAGCCTGAGTCTTTGGGTTATGGGATCCTTGAGCGGGTGGGGGGGTGCGGGTGCAAGGGATGGAAACACCCCAGTCATCCCCAGTTCGCCCTGGCAAGGTTCTGGGGCTTCTTGCTGTAGTTTCAGGTTTGGGGTTTAGTGACAGTTGAGGGATTTCGGGGTTTACGGCTCTCGCTTGTCGCTTAGGTTTTGGCTTCGAGCTGCAGGTGTAGGATTCAAGGTGTAGTTTAGGATCTGGATACGGGTTTGCGGGTTTTTTCATAGAGCTCAGATGTGTGTGTGTGTGTGTGTGTGCATGCATGCATGGATGGATGGATGGATGGATGGATGGATGGATGGATGGATGTATGTATGTATGTATGTATGGAAGTAAAGCAAGTAAAGCAAGTAATGTAAGTAATGTATGTAATGTATGTAATGTATGTAATGTATGTACTGCATGCAATGCATGTAATGCATCTAATGTATGTATGTAATGCATGTAATGCATGTAATGTGTGTATGTATGTATGTATGTATGTATGCATGCATGTGTGTATGTATGTATGTACGTACGTATGTACGTATGTACGTATGTACGTATGTATGTATGTATGTATGTATGTATGTATGTATGTATGTATGTATATATACGTATACACACATTTAATTCTTGTTATGTATTTACAAGTTATGTTGTA